CCTGGGACCTTCTTTTTACCCCCTATGTATTTAAAAAAAGACTTCTTATTGTCCTTAATCTGGGAAGCTAGTCCCAGTTCCATCTCTGCCTTGGCCTTCCTAACTACCCCCCTACATCCCCGAGCAACTGCAGAATAGCCCTCCTTGGTGATGACCCCTTCTTTCCATTGGGTGTAAGCCACCTTTTTAGCAAGGAGACACTCCCAGATGCTTTTGGTAAGCCATGGGGGCTTATGTGCCCTCCTGCTCCCTTTGATCCTCGTTGGGATTACCTTCCTTTGGGCTTGGAGGATCGTCTCCTTGAGGAGCAACCACTCTCCTTGGACACATATTTATCTTGTTTATCAATAATGACTCCAAGATCCCTTTCCGCCTCTGTGCTTTCAAGAGGGGAAAGTCTAAGCCCCACTTATCTCCTGCTGCTTGGGGTCCAGGCCCACTCCCCGCCGCAGCAGCGGGGGGAAGGGAAGAGTGGGCCTGGGCCCAATGTAGGGAAGGACTGGGCCCAGGGATGGGGAGAAGCTGGGCTGCTGCAGTGGGGGGGTTGGGAGGGAGCAGCGGGCCCAGGCCAACCAGGTGGCAGTGGGGGAATGGGAGGAGTGGGCTTGGGGCCAATGGGGAGAAGCAGGGGAGGATTGGGCCCAGACCTGATGTGGGGAGGAGGCTCACTACTCCCTTCTCCCCACAGCTGCCATGTTGGGCTGGGCCGGGCTGTCCTGGCCTGCTGCTGTTTCCTGCCTCCCATGCCACTGCTGCGGCAGGCCAGCTTTTCCCCCAGCTCGGGCTTGCTCCCCACCCCCCTCCACATGCTGGGTCCAGGCCCAGTCCTCCCCAGGCCCCACCATCACTGCTGACACCATGGTGCGCCTGCCCAGGGTTGGGGGAGGAGGCCGGCTCCTTTCCTCCCCCAGGCGTTGCCATGGCCATGTCGAGCCAGGCCCGCTTCCCTCTCCCCACCCATGGCAGGTCAGCTTTTCCCGGCTTCGGCCCGCTCTGCCCCCCCAACCCCCACATTGGGCCCAGGCCCACTCCCCTATCCCCCTTCATTACCTACAGGGAGCAGGGCGGGAGCCTTGCCCCACCTTCTGTCCGCTCTGTTCCTGCCGCCTCCAGGGAGCTCCGTCCCATGTCCCCACCATCATGGTGGTGGGTGGTCTTCTGTCAGAATACTTCTTTGCACTCTGATTGGCTGTTTGTCAGCCAATCAGAGTGCAGATAACACGTTACGGACAGACAGACAGATTTAGGCTTTTATGATATTAAAACAGGCTGCCACCAAGTCCCCTCTAAGTCATAGTTTCATAGTTTCATAGATTTAGGGTCAGAAGGGACCTAGTAGATCTTCTAGCCCAGCCCCCCGCCAGGGCGGGAGAACAACAAAACCCCAAAACAAAAAACAGGACTCAAATGAGTCCAGCCAGGTAGGCATCCAGCCTCTTCTTAAAGACCCCCAGGGTAGGGGCCAGCACCACTTCCCTTGGAAGTTGGTTCCAGCTCCTAGCCACCCTAACTGTGAAGTAGTTTTTGCGGATGTCCAATCTATACCTCCTCTCCATCAACTTGTGCCCATTACTCCTTGTTATGCCAGCGGGCGCTAGGGGAAACAGCGTCTCCCCCAAACCCTTCTGGTCCCCCCTAGTGAGTTTATAGACGGTCACCAGGTCCCCCCTCAGCCTTCTCTTGTGGAGGCTGAATAGGTTCAGGTCCCGCAGTCTCTCACTGTAGGGTCTGCCCTGTTGTCCCCGGATCATGCGGGTGGCCCTCCTCTGGACCCTCTCCATGTTGTCCACATCCCTCTTGAAATGGGGCGCACAGAACTGGACACAATACTCCAGCTGTGGCCTGACCAGCATCGCATAGAGGGGGAGGATCACCTCCTTGGCTCTACTCGAGATGCACCTGTGGATGCACAATAAGGTCCGGTTAGCCCTGCCAACCGTGACCTCGCATTGTCGGCCCATGTTCATCTTGGAGTCAATAATGACTCCAAAATAATGATTTTCAGTTGTCCAAGTCTCCAGTTGTTAACACAAAGGATACTAGCAGTATAAACTAACCAAATAAGAGCACCTCCAAAATACACAGTACCTTGTTGAGCTTTCCAAGCGAAGAGATGAGATCTGCCCATTCACTGGAAGATTCAAAGTTCCTCAAAGCTTTTTCAATTGCTGAAGAATAATTTCTGTATCTGTAATCACTAAACAATTCCTGCTCTTCCAGATCCATCTTGAATTCTCATAGCAAAGGCAAAACTGCCTGGTAAGCTAAAACAAACAGAGAGTTACTAAAGGATGACCTATATTTAAAATGTTGGTATAGTAAAAGAATTGCAAGGCTGTAATAAGTGTGCAGAAATATGCAAAAGGCCCCAGTAAGCAAGTATATTTTGCAGGCATGACATGAATATTCTACTGTCATTTTGGTGCTTTTTCAATCACACTTTGTTTTTTTTTTGTCCCTCACATACCTGTATAGGTTTTTCATGTAGTTAAAAAAAAAAAAGTAAATAAAAAAAGATGCCTAAATAGGAAACCATACACAAAGTATATAAACTGGTAGGGAATGAGAGAAGAAGAGAAAAATAACTTTCCTAATATTAGATATATACTAATTTGTGTGGTAACACTGCTATGCTTACTATGAAAATAGGCCTTCATGCTAGTGTCATTCCAACAGCTGTGACAGAGAGACCCTTCTGAGTTCTGTTATTCCAGGTATCAGCATGGCAATTATTTACCTCGTGAAAAAAGCTCAGTCCTGAGCTGAGAATGTTTTAAAATGCTGCTGGTTGGATTCAGGTTTTCCTTTTCTGCTTTATTTTTATGCCAGAAGGACACTGATGCATTATATTTCTTGTTTACAGCAAAAAAACCCCTACAGTTGTAATCTTCATATAAGTGAGTCTTTTGTCTCCCATATTCCAGATGACTATTCTTGCTACTGGCTACTGTCTTTCTATGATAAATCATCAGTTAAGTAAACCTTAATAGCTCTCTCAGCTCAGTAGCCAGCCATCATTTTCATAATGGAGATGATCTGTCCAGATAATTTGTAACACTGTAGTGTAACAGTAGTATATCCCGTCCATTTTCTTTCTTTCTTTTTTTTTTTAAGGGAGTTCAGAGAGGTTGACTTGAACTTGAATATTTTCAATATCTTCCACATTGTGGTAGCATTGGAATGATGGTGTAGCTGTGACAGTCCCGGAAATACGAGCCAAGGATTTTTGTGGGTGATATCTTTTACTGGACCAATTGCATGGTTCAGATAGACTTAGACAAGCTTTTGAATGCAGGGCATTCTTCATTAGCTCTGAGAAAAAAGCCAGAGCAGACTAGATCACCTTCAGCAATTCTCGTCTCTCAAATATTTTCACAGCTCATGTTGTCTCCCTTTCTTTTTAGAACATTAGTCAGAAAAAAATGACACAAATGACAGTTTTAAAGCCACTCCTTTTATACGTTCAGAATCATAGCAACTTTTTTGACAGCATTAATTGCAGCAATCTGGCAATAAAATAATAAACTAATTCTATTCTAGGTCATGTAGTAACACAGATGTCACGGTAATATGTTTGCTCAGAGGTATTTGTGATGCATAAACAGAAGGAATGGAATAATTAAGTTTTAGCCACAGTTTTCATCACTTCTGATAATGTGCAAATAAGAATGAACACTTTGGCTTTTTCAAGATGTTACCATTAGAATCAGTGATTCTCAACCAGGGTGCTAAAGCACCCTGGGGTACCTTGAAATCCTTGCAAGGATGCTGCAGGGTATCACCCAATATCAACTGTTAGGTGTGCAAACATGATTCAAAATAAAACTAGAGATTTCAAATAGGAATCCATAGTGTTATAACCATTCTGAACTGTTGTGAGCTTTCTGAGTTCTTTGCAACAGAAAGACTTATTTCTTCTGTAATCAAAAACAGAGTGAAAAAAAGGCTGAGGGATACCTTGAGCCTAAAAAGGTTAAGAAGCAATGGATCATTTATAAGCTGACATTTCCCAATTAACTATACCATCGCTTGACATACAACAACACTATTTTTAACCTCTACAAATATTCTAAACTACTTTTGGCATGAAATCAGATGTCATATGACCAAATTATAAATGGTTCCTAATAGGACCAATTTTCATGGAATCACAAAATAGATATAAAGATGCATCTATTTCTCAAAGTAGACACTTTGTAATTTATAATACACCCTCATACCTAATTTTTGGTAACACTTCAGAAAGTATTCTCATTACAGCATGGCAGGAAACAGGTTTCCTATCCTGAAGAAGGTCTGAAGGTTCAAAATATTTTAAAAGGTAAAAAAATAAATCAGCAGTTCACCCCCCACACTGAAAAATGTAGATTGGATCACTCAAATTGTTTTATTTCAATCATCTGACATTTAAAATCTACATCCTAGACCCTCATTAAGACAATTAGAAATATTTTGAACAAAACATTAAAGAGGAGTGAATGAAATTGGAACTGCCTCTTTCATGCAAACATATAGTAAACTGGCATTTTCTCTCAGTCATCTCTCTCTGAAACACCTATATACAGCATTGCTCCTGATACACAGTTGTGCATGATGCACAATTGTTGGTTTCAGATTAAGAACCAAGCATTACAGTGGAGGGCTGTAGCCCTTTATGTACAACAGGTGTCAATGAGTTTTGTTGCTAGAAATCAGCAAGTTTTGAACATGCCTGGAATATTAGCAAATACTGTTTAATTACCTTTTACACTGAAGGGGAAATAGTACTGACTATAAGGCTTGTCTTCTTATGCATGTTAAAAGACAGCAAGAAAAAAAGGGATTTCTCTAAGCCAGAAGCAGATTCTGCTGTTAAATCATCACTTTAATTCTCAAACCAACACATTAAAATCTACTCCAAAAGTCCTGCCTTAAAAACATTAAAGATCCAACATTATTTTGACTACAATTCAACCCCTAAGTACAGGGGATTGTTGTTTTTATTATTAAAGTGCCCATGTGGATTCAGTCCCTAACTTGTTTGTATCAAAACCCTGTGAAATTGTTTTGAGACTCTTATTACAAAAAAGAGAGCAGGTAATCTAGGTTTTGGATCCTGTACTACAAGCAAGATGGATATACCTTAGAATACAGAATGGTAAGGGATTTATTTTAATTTAAAGTTTCTTATAAACAGGGATCCTGGTTTTCTCAGAGTAAAAACAAAATCACCAATTTTTGGATTTAAAAAAAGGAACCCCAAATCTGCATTTTTTCATAATTAAAATGAAACACCATAGATAGATGGTAGGTAGACAGATAGATAGATAGTTAGATATAGCGATAATTCATTTCATCTATATAGATCTAGATACATAGATATAGTGATGTTTCATTTTAATCACAGAAAAATGTGGATTTTGGGTTACTTGTTTAAATCTGACAATTGGGGATTTTTTTTTTTTTTAAATCAGAGAAAACCAGGATCCCTGCTTATGAACTCACTCTCTCCCTACTGCAGTCTCACATTCAAAGGGGAGACGCACTGGAAGGAGAAGTTTAAAAAAGAAGTCCCACAGAGGTCAGTCTTGATAAGAGAAGCAATTTGCAACACAACCTCTGCCCTGCTTGCTGTCCAAAAGCTGCAGTATCCATAGCTAGGTAAAAATGAAGGCAGTCTATTCTGGAAAAGGGAACCAAGCAGAGAGCAGACAGACTGAAGGAATTGCTTCAGGCCTCTTTCAGCTGATCTGAAGCAGGCACCACCCTGCAGCAGGTCCCCGGAGCCACGGGCGGCCAGAAGAGGAGGTGCTCCTGCGCAGAGATCAGGTGGCTCACAGGACACTCGGCAGGGATGGCTCCAGCGGGGCCACCCCCAGCCCGTCTCCCTGAGGATATCAAGCTTTGTAGCCAAGGCGGCCTGGCCACAGCCCTCTCCCCTTCTCCTTACACACAGACACCTACGAGCAGACAAAGCCACACGCACCGGGGCGTGTCGGGCTAGCATGATGCGGCTGCAGAGGGACACGCCCCGCAGGGCAAGCACAGGTGCCCGGGAGTGTGTGCACGTACGTGTGTACGTGTATGTGTACGCATGTGTGTACGTATGTGTACATGTATGTGCACGTGTGTGTACGCGCGCGGGCGAGCGAGGTGCCCGCCCCCGCGCGTGCCGCAGGGGATGCACCTGCAGGGCAGGGCAGGGCAGGGCGGGGCTCCCCCCATGGGCCGGGCCGGGGGCACCTACCTGCGGGGCTCCCCGCGGCGGGCGCCGGTCGAGGCTGCTGCGGCCGCTTCCCGGCGACGTGTCCCAGCCCGGGCAGGGGCGGGGCCGAAGTTACCACAGTAACGGAACGAGGCAGGGCCTCCCCTGGCCCAGCCGCAGCCCAGCTCGGGGCATACCATCTGGGAACTTGGGACGGGGGGGGGAGACTGCTCCCCACAGAACAAGGCTGCCACGTGCTTCCGCTCCATGGGACTCGTCTTCCTCCCTCCTTCTCGCCACTGTCACGGGAAGCGTCCGGCTTCCTGAGCGCGCTGACAAGGGAGTCACTCTCTCCCCTCCAGGCTCCCCCCGCAGGTAGGGTCGGGTGGGACATTCCGGGCTCCAAGCCTGTGTCTTTGGCGCCACCCGGCGGTGCAGGGAGGAAGTGCAGGCAGCGTGGGGCCGGGCTCGGGTTGCAGTCCGCAGGCTCCTGCTGCCTGGGAGGTGGTGGGGTCGTGTCTCACCTCTTTATTCAGCTCAAGGGACTTGCTAGGTGATGCGCCATAAGGGGTTTATGAGTAAATCCCCCTTTTTAGTGAACTTCTGAATCTTCCACGTGGCTCAGTCCTTGCTGACAACCTTTCCTCGTGGAAAGGAGAGCTTGGGGACAGGAACTGGGAATAAGGCACTGGAAACTGGGGTAAGAAGCCAGATTCAGCTTCATCTGAGACAGCCCCTCTGCTTTCTGCCACTACCTAATCCTCAGAGAACCAAAACCCATGGCATAGGTGACATTTTTTATTAGGCCAAGTATCTATTTGGTCTAATAAAAGATACCACTTCTGCCACACATTTTGGTTCCTTTTGCCTCCAGACCAATATGATTACAACATGGATAACTACTCCTCAGGGAGACCTGGGAGAAGCCCCTTCAGCCTCTTCCTGAGCTAAACCCAGCAGCTGCTAGCTCACCTTCCCTTTCCTCCTTCCACCAGGGCCCTGGAAACCATGGAAAGATGCAGGCCAGGCTCCAGGGAGCTCACGCTCCCTCCACTGTCCTTTCCTAGCCCCTGAGCCCAGTCTCTGGGATGCCCAACAGCTTCCAGCTGCCTCTTGACTTCCTGTCAGGGTCTCTGGGTGAGACAGGCTTGTTTGTTATACTGGGAGGATGGTGGGCCTAGGCCCACCAAGAAAAACTATTGCCTTCCCTTAAAAAGGGGGAACGTAGCAACTGATTTCTTGGGACAGGTAAATGCCTCTTATGTCCCAAATCAGGCTGTCTAACTGGCATCCTGCAAGGGGTTGGCTTGCAGCCTCTGGATTCTCATGCAGCTTTCCCTGTCTCTGTTGCTCCATGTGCAGTAGCTAGGGAAAGGGAGTGAGGTCACATGAGCGCATCTACACAAGACGTTGACTGTACAGTAGACAAAAAATACTGTGCGGTAGTGTCACAGCATGGACAGTGCTAATATGCTACTGCAGAGGTAGTATTAGGCAACTCCACAGTAGTGTCACCTGAAAGACATTTGCCAGTGCTACTCTGCAGTAACCAGAGTTACTGCACATTTATTTAGTACTTGTATTTTCTAACAGAATTACTAAATAAATGCATAGTAACAACTGTGCAGTAGCATCTCACATAGACATGCCCTGTGCAGAGCACATGGTCCAGCACCCTGGAACAAGCTGAGGGAGCCTGGGACACTGACCAGTGAAACTCTGCCCAGAGACATGGGCAAAGGAGTGAGAGGAAGACAACCCTGCACTCCCCCAGGTTTTACCCTCTAGGTAAAACAAGAAACCAGGGCATCCATCTGTAAAACACAGCAGTGCTTGCTGTGTACAGGAAAGAGCACAGTAAAGAGCAGGCCCAGACGGTTCTCTCCCTTCATTGGGGTACATCTAAATTCCTCTGCAAACAGCAGTATGGATATAAAACAAGCAGGCAGCGAATGATTGCTCCACATCACTGTGTGTACATGCTTTAATCCTACAACACTCCATCCTTCTTGCCAAGTAGCAAGGGGACTACACAAACAAGGCCTTGCAGGCTCCCCTGTCCATGCCACATGGACGCTCCTGGTTGCCACCTCCCCCAGCACCATGGCCTGTGCGGTGCTACTCTGCTTGGCCACAGAAGCCAGGGGAGGAAGGGGAAGCCTGAGCCTCTGGCTGTTGCTGCTGCTGCAGCTGGAGCAATAGAGGCAGCAAAGGCTGCATTGGAGCCCAGGCTGCAAGTTAACCCCTCGCAGGCCACCAGTTGGACAGCCCTAATTCAGGGTATAAGATACCAAGTGTTAAGTACATCACCAAGCATCCATGTTCTTTCTCCAACCAGATGTGCTCTTTGTGGAGAAATACTGGCTTTGCTTTCTAGGCTCTACCTTTTAGTGTAATTTAGGAAGTTGGGAAGTACAAGGCTCTGAAACGCATAGCTCAAACTGGCAGCATGGCAGCTCAAATGGAAAATGAGTGTACTCTGGTTCTGAACAAGGAAAAAAAGAACATCTCAAAAGTGGCAGACAATAACTAAACATTTCAGGAATTACATTTGATTCACTTCATCCATCTAATCTAATCAGATAAAAGTTGTAGTTTATTTTGGGAGCAAATCAATCAGAACATTTTGAAGTAAAGACAGTTTAGTTTGAACTTCCAAAGGAGAGAACAGTTCCCAAGAAAGAATAAAACGGGGAGGTGAGCCCAGCTATCTAAATTCAAGCAGATGAATTTTGTGCGTACAACTGCTTACAAAAATTGATCTTTACAATGTCTAATAGTACATTAAGATTTGAACAGAATGGCTACAAAAGTATGAATTTCAGAGTTCTGAATCACTCCAAACATAACAAAAACACATGTTCTAGATGTGCTTCAGGTATATGGTTTCTATTTCAACTAATTACTAAGATGCATCTGAAGTAACTTAACTAGCAGGTTCACGGAAAGATCAATGAAGCCAATTTAAAAATATGTTTGCACAGCCTAACAAAACATCACTGTATTTTTCAAAGTGGTGAAGCTGATAACAGGTGCCTATACAGGAGCACCCAGGCTGCTCCAAAGCGCTGTAATTAATCTAATCTGTAATTAATCAAGTCTGCAATTAATTGAGCCTGCTGGAGCGTGATAATTACCGCACTGCAGCAGCCTCCCATATCTCATGTATCAGCATGGTGGGGGTGCTTGAACTAAAGCTTGTTGAATGAGCTTTTAATTCAAGCACTCCTGCTGCCATTTTTAAGTGCAGGGATGTGATGCTTTAATTAAAGCAGCCTAATTAAAGTGGCCCTCCCACCCATGCCTCTGGAGCCCATGTAAAAGTGCCCACTTGTAGCCATACTAGAAGCTAACGCTGTAAGCACAGGTTGCAGTACTTTGTGTCAGCATTTCTTTTATGAATACAATCACTTACTACATTTGAAGGGCACAGGTTTGACCCTGCCTTAGATAGCTACAAGTCAGCCAAAATAAAAAAAAGAAAAAGATATTCACTTGATAATAACATAAAACTATTTTTGACCATATACATCTCCCAAACAAATAATTTGTATTCTTCATGCTAAGAATGTCATAATACAGCATTTTATGTTGCTGGAGATTTGCAGTTTTCAAAAAGCATTGTACCATGTGTTCATTTAAAATATTTTTACATCTACTCCTTTTACAGATCAAAATGTGGTTCTTTTTTCCCTACTAACTTGCATTTTTTTCATTTTCTTATGCCTCACTTTCCTTGTCCTCCTTTTGCAAGAAATCTAACACATTTTGGGGCCTGTCTTTTTTTCTACATAGTTGCTCCTCCAGTTGACTTCTTAGCCATCAGCCATATATAGATAGTGCATGTCTACAAGAGACAGGCTAATTGTTTTTTAACCCTAACTGAATATTTGTTATGGTTCTCATAACTTAGCAAAAAGTTTCTCAATCTGGAAAAGAGTTCAGATATGATCTCTTTCAAATTCGGCTTTAGTTCCCATGAAATTGATTCCCATTATTGGCTAAAGTCATAAGCCTAGAGAGTTGTCAAAAAAGTTCTTTAACATCATCTAAAATCAAGTTGGCAGATAGTTTATTCAGGCCCCGAAGTTAGTTTAAAGTTCTAGCTTGAGAAAATTCCATGTCAAATGTTTTACCATCCTGCTTTTCAGAGTAATTAAGCCAGTTTTGCTGGCTTCTAACTACTAAAAACTACACTCCTGTCCCAGAGCCAGGGATAGAAGCCAAAATTCTAGGACACCAGTATTTTATTGCTGACTCACAGCTGTTGGTAAAACCCACAGAGGAAGCAGGTACCAATTCCTCCTCAAGCAGGCTGGTTTACCAGAAAGGGTAGCAATTATTTCTGTAACCCAATTAATAAGGGTCTAATCTGGAACTGGAAATTTAAGGGGGTTCAAACCCTGCTTTTGGTCTACATAGGAGGATATATGCTTTTATGACTTTCACTGAGAAATTACCTCTTTAAAACATTTTGTACTTAAAAATTATGATAACCAGTAAGTTATGGTGTGCATCACCACATTTTACTTCTTCCACACTTTAGTCTTTTGTTACAACTTTGCTTGTGTCACATGCTGGTCAGCATGTATGCCACCAGCATTAGAACAGAATCGTTTCCCAAGCAGCCAAAACATGCTATAGCCAGATATGCTGTCCTATCAGTGTAAAAGCTTCTAAGATCACTGTTTGGATTAGGTACAAAATTGATGAGGCTTGGGTTTGTATTGGTTTCTGGCATATACTGGAAATGAAAACAAAATATCATCAGCTTTGGAGGGCAACGAAGATAGAAAGGAATGCACTAGGTCAGTGGTGTTCAACCTTCTAGCCCAGTAGGGCTAGATAAGTCACACAAAGCTGGTCCATGCTCCCAATCCAGCTTGGGGTTGATGTGCTGGCCCAGCCCAATTCACCAGTCCCAGCACCGCAGGGACCCTGCGCACCAACCTCACTGTGTGTCAGCATGACCTAGTGCATAGGGCCAAGTCATCCAGCCCACAGGGCTTCTCATGGGTCCAGAAATTTGGCAGCAGGGGAGTGACTGGATATGGCCTGCAAGCTGGAGGTTGAGCACTATGGGCTCCAATACACATGGAGGGAGTCTGCTCCATCATGCTGTGA